TCCGGCTTCCTTGCGGATGCTCTTTTGGGAGGTGAGATTGGCTCGACTTTCAAGGGTTGCGGCTTCCTTGCGGATGCTCTTTGGGAGGTGGGATTGGCTCGACTTTCAAGGGTTCGGCTTCCTTTCGGATGTTCTTTTGGAATGTGGGCACCCGAGCCAACGCGTGTACGTACTCTACGGCGTGCGGTTTGGTACGGGGGTTGCGGACACCGAGTGATAAAGGATGACCTGTTGCGCCTGAGGAGGAGGACGGAAGAGGAGGGGGTGGGAGAGAGGGGTTGTGGTTGGAGAGGGGGAGGTGGATGGGAAGTCGGGATCAGATCGTAGAATATTTGTCGGTGTGTGTTGGCCTATAGACGCCTACGCCTACCCTGCTCAGATCGCGGATGCTAAATCGAGAAGCTTTTGGGAAATATCAAGAAATGAAGTGAAGCACAACGCCCGCCAAGCCCGCCAATACCACAAAATCCTACCCAAATGCCGACATTCGATGCCGTTTGTCATGAACGAAAACCAGAGTCGTCAAAATTTCTTCCACGAACATATTTTCCGTGATCGTCTGACAACGCGTCAGGTCCCGCTTCTGTATCGAAATTCCCGTTGCCTATTTCTGGAAAGTCATAGCCACCGAAGTCTCCAGCGATAGTGGGACCAGTGCCGCCAAAGCCCATTAAATCGATTTCGGGCCAGTCAGTTCCCACAGCGTTCTGATCTGGAAATGGGGTGAGATCACCGGCCGACACGTTGTCCATGTTCTTTCCGCTAAATGGTCCAAAAGGTGGAAACATCATGTCCTTGGTTGAGGACTCGCGTGACACTGCAGAGGAAGTAGAATTGGTCAAAGAATGCGTGATGCCAAGATTGAAGTCAGGTGGCCTGTTCAGGACTGGATACTCTCCAGACAAAAAAGAGTCATTGGTGGAGAAGTCGAACATCTGGGTAGTATTCGGGTTCAATTCCTGGAATGTCTGTACCACCTGCTTCAGCTGCTTCTTCACGGCCTTGGTTCTTTTGGCCTGGCGCAGATTCCCATGCTTGGACAAGACAAGCAATGCCGAGGCCAAGCTCGACAGTTCTTCGTTTTTGGCCGAAACGAGCGAGGCTTCAGGTTCCACATTGAGTCGAGAGCGACTTTGGAAATACGCAAGTGCTCTGCCACAAGCGTCCAAGCCCAGCACGAGAACTTCCGCAATTGTACAGGGACATAGGTCCATAGTCATCCGGCCACTGTCCTGCGGTCTTTCTAATGCAGCGCTGACTTCCAGAAGTGCTCTCGCCGACCGAGACATATCCTCTATCAGGCTGTCGGTCACGGGAATGCTCCCCCGGAGGTCGGGAGAACGGGGAAAAAGAAAGTGAACGATCATAGTGTGATACGTGGATAGAACAATGCTTTGAGAGATTTCGCATCCTGCATGAGGTTCAAACAGCTCTAGTGCGCCAACTAGCACATGGCGAACCTTCGAGCACAGAGTCGAGACGTCTTCGGGAGTATTCTGAAGTGGGCTAGACAAGCGCTGCAGCTGGCGCAGTGTTCTTGTATGCCACGATGCCCGTTTCGAGGGTTCCGCCAGGATCTGTTTTCGAGGGTAAAGAGCATAGATGTGAGCGGTCGTTGACGCCACGTGACTGATTGGCCACAGATCGCGGATGGTTTTAGCCTGGCATGGCAGCGTTGATATATTATCTGATGCCGAGTCAAGCGCGAAGACCTTTGAAAATGTCTCGTCTATCGGCGGGAAAGAAGTCGATGAACTGGACGGCAGTAGCTCCATTATCGGAGCATCCATTTGCATGAAAGCCCAAAGTATGACGGAGAAAGTGATCCACCGAATACCCCGGGCTAACTCAGCTTCGACCTCGCCAATGTCCAATCCATTGATCTGGTTCAGTCGAATTGTGGGTGCCTGGAGGCTGGTGACAAGATTGCTGGCATGGAGGAAATAACATATGGCTCGCCTGGCTCTGGCAGCGCAGAGTTCATACCAGCCAAGCAATGTCAACGCTTGCACGGTAACGAGGTCGACGTTGGTACCGGATATATCGAAGAACTTTGAGTTGGCCCATCTGAAAATCTCAATTCCTTTGTCACGTGCTTCCGAGTCATTCTCAGCGAATTTGACGTCAGCCAGAATGACAGCGAGGAGTATATTATCGCGGGCTCCGTCCCGGCAGCTTCGCAGTAACAGTGTCTTGGAGACGATGACGGCAAGAGGGTGATGTGAGAACCAGACGTCAACCATTTGCAGGGTCTGGTGGTCATTATAGTCAAGAAGTGGGTTTTGGGCTTCGGTTGGTTGATCGAACATGTTCTGGGTATCATCCAAGGCTAGGCATCTCTTGAAGAGCCGGGAACCGTCATCATCATCATCAACAGCCTGGTCGCAGGCCAAGTCGCCAAATTGGAGAGCCACCATCTCCACAAAGTCTTTTATCAGGACACGCAAGGGCTCTTCGTATGTGATTGCTGGACGAGGCAATGTATCGCGGCTATGGATGGAGGTCTGGGTCTCGGAGTTCTTGCGGCTAAGAGCGGAAATGGCGTTGGGGCAGGTCTCGACCCTCTCGAACCCTTGAGCATCAAAGAGACGATTGAAGATCTGCTGAAGGTCGGCAGCAACGGTATGTTTCGATGCCGTATCCATCTTTTGAGTACACGAGCGTTCTCTCGGTCTGAAAGCCTGGTACGTCTGACGAGTGACTTGTGTGCTGAAATTGTTGAGGCTAGGATCAAGGATAGGAGAGGGTGTTGGAGGATTCTTCATAGTAGGGACCGAGTTTGCGCTGTCGACCCTTTGGCTTGTTCCTCGTTTTGCAGTCTTCGAGGTCAAGCCTCTGGGTCGACCTTTGGAGCCTTCCCGGCCATAAACACAGTCGATATTCCTCTCTCGGCATGCGCTACAGATATTCTGGCCAGAGCACCGAATCTTTCTCGACCGGCAGAAGCCGCAACTCCTTCGCATTGAGGGTTGTTGCGTAGACTCTGTCTCGTTTTGTATGAAGGACATGATGGTTGTGTATGAAGATGCAAGAGACACTAGCTGCGTGAGGTGTTAATATTCGAAAAGTGACGTTCATTCTCGATGGACTATTAAATGTGATTCGGAGAAAGTGATTCCACATGTATGAAACACCATGATGTCAAAGGGATTTTCCAAGTATAAAGCTGGAGAGTAGATCAGATCTGAAGTAACGTTCACCCAGCGGCGTCACAGCAAAGGTGAACGCTTTCGATGCAACGCTAGGATCTCAATCTGCCGCCGGAGATTTCCGTTTCAAGCATAGCCTGCTGTAGGATGAGGTCAGGCAAGGATTCTCGGGTCAGCACGAAGCTTGTGGCAGCCCACTGGCGAGTCTACTGTAACCCGGTCTTCAAACACGGATGAGTAAGATCTGGATTGCTTGGCGAATACGCTGGGGGGGGACTTAGCCGATACACTGGAAATATGGTGTGGCCGGACAAGAGAGCAGCCCCAGGGCGCCCCACACGCCCCTCATGCGCCTGCGGTCATGTCCGCTGCCTGAGACGAGATATTCATTGGGGTTCGACACCACTCCAGTCAGGGGTAAAGACTGACTACTCAAACCCGCCAGTTGGACGGGTGCTTCAATCTCGACAGCTGCGCAGGGTCTATCGCGGAAAGCAGTCTTCGACCCTGCACACTGCGTTGGTCCAGACAGATTTGTAGCCTGACTCGTACCCCATTCAACGAGAGGGTGATGAAAGGCCAAGTCCAACCACAGATGCCTCTTCATCATCATGCGCAAGGGAGGTAGGGCGGAGAGCATTGTTTGAAAGGATTATTGGATGTAGGATTTGGGGGAGAAGTTCTGGCGAGAGGGTGAGGGTGTGCAGCGAGGGGAAATAGGATGAATGGGATGTGGGTAAGTAGGTGGGATTTGTAGGTAGCGAGTTTAAGTAGGATTGACGATCTGACCTTATCGGAAATGCGTTGCCGACGTTTCTTTTGTTGGATTTATTGCTGCTGATGGATGATCATATGCATCCGAGACGCGTCTTTTGGCGTAAGATTCTTACCGAGGTCGGCACACACGGCACACAAATGTTCCTGCACATGCCATGAAACAGCTCCAGCTGTCGAAGAATGGTCCGCCTGAAGGGTTGCCTAAGGTACTTACCTGACGGGCGTGCTTGCAGATGCCACACCGTGTTGAGGCAGTAGGTAGTACTGAGGCAGTAGTACTACCTTAGCCTCCGAACTTAGGGTTAGGGCTGGTGTTAGCGCTGTGCAGGACTCTTGTTGCCCACCTACTCTACAGTGTACAACGTGCGGGTACGAATGTGGATAATGATTCGTTCAAGCGCGCCAATCGGGTCTTCTTGTAGTCTCAGTATATGAATGTCTACACGAGGGGTATGCCGTAACGAGCTCGCGAAACGATTGGCATCCGAAGCTTTGGCATGGATAGTGGTGGGGTCAAAGCATTTCAAAACACGGCCATTGCACAGGACATACTGCCTCGCGAATCGTCTGAGTGTTTGAATCATTACGACGCCGCAGATGAAGGAAGTGTGAAGGAGGGTGGGAAGGGAGATGGCATTCTGAGTATTCATAACTTTTTGAAGGGTCACGTCGTCACACCGAACACCCATTGAAGGTGAAGTAGGTGGGGGATTGCTCATGATTCACATTATGACCTCGTGTACGGGCTCTAGCATAATTCAGCAGCAGCAGCTTGATCACCCCCACCCGCTCGTGTACTCCGGCCCGCGCCCCATTGCTTCGCCGTACTCGTACTCGTACAACCTGAGGCATCATCAGATGCAGTGCAGGGGCCAACATCGGGCCAGCTCTTGTCATTCTCATCGCATGCTAATCATCCCATATCATGAGGCTGTACACGCAAACTACGGAAACCCAAACAGTCTATCTCTGTGTACTTCAAGTATTGCCATTACCATTGCTTCTACAACGATCCAAGCCTTCGCAACCAATTAGCTAGACTCGCCTTCACCAAAGTCCTCCACGTCTAATCTTTCAGAACACAGTCGCCGACATCGTTGGCGTCGCCAACTCAGTATCCGATGCCTTCTTCTCATCCAACCTTTCGGGATCCACAGCCCTGTTCAGATATTTCCCTGGGTAGAAAGCATTCAATACACCCACGGCGATGATGATCATTCTATGGTACGGCTCGTCAGCGAAGACCGATCGTGCTGAGAGATGCTGAACTCACGCTCCCTCCAGAACCACAAAATCTGTCTGCTTCTTCATCAGCGAGCTGCCCCAACCGCCGGCCAGCTCAATGACGCGGTAAATGCATCGAATCTCGATGAACAGCCAGGAAGTTGCCAATGCAACAAGGAAGTAAATCAAGCCCTTGTTGTGTCGGAAGATACCAGGGGCTCTCGCAGAAGCTTGTGGGCTTCGATAGACACGGAATGCGTATTCCGCGGAAAGAACAGCAAAGAGGGTCAAGCTAGCCACTTGAAACGCCAATCCTGCAAGCTGGAAGTTATCTCCGACGGTGAGACTGGTATCATTTTGTGCGGCAACGGATGCAAGTCCACCACCAGCACCTTGAACTGAAGTCAGCGATGGTCTTTTGCTGCAAGGGACAGAGCAAGAACCGACCCTGGAGCGCAAGAGAAACAATGTCGCAGCTGATGAAAATGTAGGCGTAGTACTTGGGCGGCAGCCGAGATACTTCCGTACCGAAGAGCAGAACGCTATAGGTGAATCTATGAGCGCTCTCTAACGACTGGTCGATCTGGGGCAACTTACAGCCGTGACAAGCAAAGGTAGATCGCCGCAGAGAAGAAAGCCGGAGCAATCGTGAGGCAGCAGATCTGGATCAGGAACCTATGATCGGGTAAGCTCACTACAAACTTCCAAGACATGCGACCTTGACTGACCCGTTCAAATTGAAAGCATTCGGATGCATCATCAATCTACCGATGTATCCCAACACCTCGCAGATACATCCCCACAACATCGCAGTCAACGTTCCCCAAGCGCGATAGTACCATCCCTGTACCCCATGTCCTACCAGTGCCATACTGAAAAGAACGAGCAATGTGATGTCTGGGCCGAGGGACGGCGAGTAGCCATAGAATGATTGCGAGACTGGGCAGTCGGCGGATATGTTGGTGCAATCTTGCGCACGAGGCAGCAGGAGAGAAAGAGGTGACATGGTTGCGGTTTTAATTGAAGGGTGAAGAGAAAACCTGGAAGAGGGAAAGAAGTAGGACAATGTCTGAGATATTCTAGAAGTTCTGAAGAAATGGGAGTACTGAGTCTAATATCTAGGTCATCGGATCGAAATTGCACACATGTCGCGCTTTTCGCTGCGTCAACACTGTACAGCTGCGGAGTCTCAGCGGAGCAAAGAGGCTCCGACTCACAGCAACATATGTCGTTGTCTATGCAACATCCAATCAAAGACAGTTTCCTCTTCGCCTAATTATATTCAAGCTTAAATTGCCCGTCCGCGAACGGATACTTTATGGAACGGAGGATTTTGCGGTATGGACCTATGAGATCACGGACATTTGCGAAAACTGGGGTTGACTGGATCTCACGTCGGCATGATTATTCCTCCGACTTCTAATGGATCATCCATACGACTGTCGTCTGGCACGAAGCAGCTATACGTCGTATGAGACTTCGAACATGAGATACAGCAAAAGACTCCGTGACTACCACGGGGCTGTCGCTGATCGCAATCCTATTGCCTTCACATAACATGCACTTCCACACCACTCAACAAATTTCTTCTGCGATTCTCCATTGCATTTCCATCCGGTCTCGTGGAACAGTCTTCGGATCTCAAGACATTCAGTCTCATGTACGAAGCTACAATGCACAACAGACCACTATTCCTCCCGCAAAACTCCATGCGCTCGCGCGACATGAGCGATTCTCAAGCATACCACCTCAGCAGCAGCCTACAACCACATCAAGTGACTCCAGCATCGAAGCGAGCAAGCAGAATGGCTTCGGTAACGAAACGAGAGTCTCAATCAGCACCAGCACAAAGCAAAGGCGCAATGTACAAGCCAGGTAAATGGCTCTACTTGGCCTTTGCGACTCTAGGCCTGCTCACTGTCATGGTGGCATTGGACGCTACATCTCTCTCGGTAGCACTGCCAGTAAGCGCTTCTTGTGCATCACATCAGAAGTAGCAATGCTCACAACTTCACAGGTAATTTCTGCAAAACTCAACGGCAGCGCACTCGAGGCTTTCTGGGCTGCAACGTCTTACTTACTCACTTCTACCGTCTTTCAACCAACCATTGCCTCCTTCTCCAATGTCTTTGGGCGAAGATGGGTTGCGACGGCAGCAGTGACCATATTCCTACTCGGTCTTCTCCTTTGTGGACTTGCGCAGAACTTTACGCTCCTGATAGCCGGCAGAGCGGTTCAAGGAATTGGCGGTGGTGGCATCGTTGTACTCACCCAGCTTATCATCTGCGATCTGATTCCATTGAGGTTGAGAGGGCAGTGGTTTGGCGTCATCAGTGGGATGTATGCCATTGGCTCAGTCTCAGGACCGCTGTCAGGAGGCGCGTTTTCGGAAAAAGTGACTTGGGTACGCATCCCCTATTGAAAACTGCTTTCGCTCTACTGACTAATAGCACAGCGTTGGATCTTTTGGATCAATCTACCCTTCACCGGTATAGCTCTAGTGATGATCCCACTCTTCATCAAGCTCCGCGCACCTCGCAATTCCTTGTTCCAAAAGCTCGCCCAAATCGACTGGATGGGCTCTGTCATCTTCATCGCCTCCACGACCGGCTTCCTGATCCCGCTATCCTGGGGCGGCGTATCGTACCCATGGAATTCTTGGCGTACCTACGTCCCTCTCTCCGCGAGCGCTCTCGGCCTGGTCGTACTTTACATGTACGAAGAATACGTGGCTACGAATCCGATCATAAGGACTAGCATCTTCAAGAACCGCAACGCAGCGGCGGCGTACATCAGCGTCGTATTACACGGCATGGTCGTCGCCGGCTCCCTCTACTATCTACCACTCTATTACGAAGCAGTCCAAGGCCTCTCACCCATCCTCTCAGGCGTAGCTCTCTTCCCTGAAACCTTCACCGTAGCCCCAGGCGCCTTCATAGTCGGCTCCCTAATCTCGCGCACCGGCCGCTACCGTTGGGCTGTCTGGTCCGGCTGGTCCATCACGACACTCGGCCTCGGCCTCCTCTACCTCCTCGACGTCCACACCACTACTGTCGAATGGATCTTTCTCAACCTAGTCGTCGGCGTCGGTCTCGGCTTCAACTACACCGCCCTTGGCGTGACGCTCCAGGCCGCCACCACCGAAGAAAACATGTCCTCCGCCGTCGCCATGTTCACATTCTCCCGCCTCATGGGCCAAGCCCTCGGCGTCGTCATCGGCGGCGTGACGTTCCAGGACCAGATGCGCACAAAACTGTTAGCGATACCTTCACTGGCGCCAATGGCGGACCAGTATGCGAATAATGGGGCGGCACTGGCGCTGCAGATCAAGACGATACCCAATAACGATGACCGAAACATGGTCATTCAAGTGTATGCGGATTCACTGAAGACAGTCTGGGCAGTCTTGTGCGGAGCGGCAGGATTGGCACTGCTGGCGAGTCTGATGATCACGGACCTAAGCCTGGATCGGCAATTCATTTCGCCGCAGCAGATGCACAGCGAGAGCGACGATGCCGCCCTGCTCGACAACACAGTCGAAGAAGGCGGCAGCGCAAGCAGTCGCCCCGCAGCTCAAGAAGAGGAGTACGGACTCGCGGAGACGTCGGGCGGAATGACCGCCCTACCCCACTGGTACGGCACCGACGACTCCACACCGCCGCAGCAACAGCAGCAGCCGGAAATACCTCGAAAATCGTCCCGCCGCAACTCGCGCTGGCTCAGCGGCTTCACGCTCGCGGAACCGCGCGCCTCGCGCATGTCTGGCACTGTAGCAGCAGACGACAACGGCGACAACGAAGCCTCGTCTCGCTTCTCACAAGCATCCGCCGGCCTCGCCAACGACGACGGTGAGAAGATAGCATCATACCAATCCTCACGCTATTCCCGCTCGACCCGACACGACAGCGCACGCCCGCCATCGCTGCCACCGGCGCATCATCACCCCCATCATGATCAGCGGGCTTCGATAACAGGGCTGCCGTCGATACCGGACCAGCCGTCGCTGGCCGAGATGATGGTAGATGATTTCGACGCGGATTCAGAGCTGCCGACGATCCTGCCGCATCAGAGGCAGTCGAGCGTTGTGGTGAGTGAGAGGCCTAGGTCTTGGGCGCCGGTTTATGGGATGGGGTAGGCCGTTCGCGGGGCGTCGAGCTGGTTGGGTCGGGGTTTACTTGGTCATCAGAAGCGGGTCATTTTTGTAGCTCCTTAGAGTCTGTACGTCAGATAATACGATCCGGCCTGTTTTTTTTTGGCCCTTTTTGAACAGCAACTAAATTTGTAACCCTGACAATGACCTCAAGGCAAGGAAGTAAACACTGGGTTGGAGAAGATTATACGGAGGATGACGTCGGTGGTTTAGTGAATTATATAAGGCTCCTTCTACGCGAAAATGTACCCCTCAAAATCTAGGCCGAGGTGGAGAGGTAATCAGGGCACACAAAGTCCTGGGCAGCGCTAAGATCGTAGCCCTAACCCTGCTATCGGAAGGCAGCCCTGTGGCTGGGAGCCTAGAACTATTTCCTGGGGGCGTATAGGTTCGACTTTAGGGGCTTCCATTGGGCGTCCCACGTTGGATAACAATTCCAAGACACTTCTAAGCGTAAGGTATGGTCCAGGTAGCATCCGGCGGGGCATTATCCGAGATCTTGGCATAAGAGTCTTGGCGTCCAGGACGTTTTGTGCCGACCTTCATACTATACGCGATATGCTATAGCTAGCGGAGGAGGCTGGCAGAGACCTCCATGGCAATCGGATGACTGTGTACCTTCATTATGATTCAGCACGCCTATGCGAAGATGGATCTCATCCTCATCGTCAGCCCAATGATCGGGCTTCCTCACCGCGGCGCGAGACGCACCGTCTGGGTGAAACAGCCAGCCGAATGGGACCTCACAATGGCAATGCAACTTTGAAGGTTGCTCATCTTGCAACAAGTATATTTGTCGGTGATTCTCCAGATCAGATCAGTCGCATCAGATCCCGCTGAAGTGTTTCGGATGGCGCCTAAGGTTCCATCTCGCCGCGGTGGTCATCAACTGTGGGGAGTCTCCGCCGCGACACGGAGAGATTGCTATTCTGTGTCGTATGAGACCTGCCGATCCAGCAGCAGCCACATTGTCTCTAATGCTATAACTAGTGATGGACGCATAAATCAGGTTAAGAACGTGTTCAATTTGTCTGCTAAGAGCTACCTACTTCAATTCTGAAAGCAGCACCCACTTGAAGAATATTGCAGCGACCATCACCTGCGGTCGCTATTCTACGTCAATGGAGTCCTTCTTCCACATCCAAGGCGCCCCCGCATCCCCTCTTGCACCCCTCATCCTCATCCACCCTATCTCCGGCATTGCTCTCCCCTACCTAACGCTCGGTCCCCTCTCCTCTCCCACCAACCACCAACATTCGCGCCCCGTCTACGGTCTCAGCTGCCCCTTCTACGAATCCAAATCATATCAACTACCAGCGTCCTTCGCCGCCCTCGCTCGCGATTATGTCGATCGTATAAGGAAAGAAATACCACACGGCCCATACATTCTGGGCGGCCTGTCGATGGGCGGCATGATAGCCATCAAAATGGCCGAGGTACTTGAAGAAGAGTGTGAAATGGTGTTGGGGGTGTTGTTGATTGATAGCACAAATCCCGAGGGATACCCTCCCTTCGACGACCCACGCGAAAGAGACGAGATTGCGGAGTGGACATACAAGACTTATGCGGGTCGGACTGGGCTACCCGGTTTTGAGGAGATGGGCTGCGAAGAAGACGGCGTGCTGGACGGGGAGGTGGATAAGGATAGTGGGCTGGGAGATGAAGAAGATGATGATGATGAGATGGATATGATGGAATACCTGCCCAGGATGCGGAAGCATATCTACAACAGCTTGGACATGGTTACCCGGGCTGGGGAAGGAGAATATTTGCCCAAGGGAGTCAAGAGTCCTGTGACACTGGTGAAATGTACACAACTCGCCTCGCTACCGGAGACGGTGTCCGAGTACAGGAAGAAGGGTTATCACTTCCGCTTCCAGGACGAGCGAGCTGGATGGACGGTGGACAAATTCCAGAGCATACCAATAGATGCGCAGCACGAGGCTGTCTTCGATAGCCAGCACGTGGGCAGGGTCACCGACATCCTTAGGGGAGTGCTGGAAGAGATGGACTGATTTTCCATTCACGTCCTGCAGTAGATAGAACGCGCAGTAGGATATAGCCGGGCCGTTGCCCATCAACGAAAAGACCGTCAATCCTGCTGGAATCACATCTATTCACCTCCTTGAATCCGCATGATCCCCACACGCCCTATCCGCCACCTCCGCCCAAGTCCCTACCCTTAAGTATACTAGGCTTTCGTTTTTGAGAACTCTAGCTCCGCAATGTTCTCCTCGGTAGCTGTTGCTAGGCATCTATCATTGAGGTCCTGCAACTCTAATCTTGTGCTAGGTCCCCAGTCATCCCATGAGGCAGAGTCTCACCCTAATCTTGTACTGGAGGAAGCAAAGACGTCTAACGACCAGCCTTTTACATTGGCACCCTTTCAGCTGTCGAATAACTACCAACCACATTTCTAAACCGTCGCCCTCTCGCATTCGGCTATGCAGTAGCCACTCACGTCCCATGTCCTACATCCACAATCATTATCAACACTAACAAACCACACCCCCATGGTTCCCATACACCAGCCCCTTCGAGTCCACAGCAACACACGGCGTATCCGGTGTGAAAGCATTGGCGAAGACACAAACCCCATCCTGGTCCACCGCTCCAACATAGCCATTCCCAACCTCGTTCTTCCCGTCATTAATCTGAAACATAGCATCCGAGTAGCCGTTCTCCGTATCCGCCATCCAGGCATTCAGCCCCTGCATCGCCACCCCGAAGACTCCCCACGTCAGATGATGCCCGCCGGCATCCTCGGCGTAGATGAGAATGCCCGTGCCGGTGTTGGATACGTATTGGTGACCATCCGGGACCGGACCGTCGCCGTGGGATCCGATGTACATGTCGATGAAGGCGATGCTGGCATTCAGCGCCGTGGCGTACGAGGTGCTGGGTTGCAGCGACGGCTTGATGGCTCCGAAGAAGACGTAGGTGTAGGTGCCGGGGATGCAGTAGAGGTACTGGAATGCCGCTTGGCATGTCGCCGAGGCCGAGCTCGGGGGTTGTGCGTCTTTGGGGTCGACGTAGCTTGATGCGTACGATCTTTGATCAGCCGTGCATGGACGGACCCTCGAGACGGTGAATCGGACTCACTATCCTGCGACCACGGTCGGCGCGTTGGTGCACTTGAGGTGGTGACTGTTGCCTCTTTCGTGAAGGAGCGGAGACGCCAGACTCAGGACGGCGCTCTGGAGGAGGAAACAACGGGCGAGAAAGGCGTGGGAGGCCAACATCGTGTCAAACGAGCGTGTGGCGATTGTAAAGACTGTTGAGAAGAGGAAAAGAAAGGAAAAGGAAACGAGGTTGCTACGTACGACCAGGAATCGAAAGAAGGGAGAAGGTTTTTCAATATGGGATGGGGAACGGCACGCATTTTGTGTAGACGCCAAATCCCCCCGTCGCTTCCCTCATTACTGCAAATCGAGTTTGAAACATTTAGCCGCTATCGCGTACCTTGCAGGTAATCGTGGCCAGACGTTCGGAACTGGGTGACAAAATCAACCGGTGCGCGTACGTATCTGGTTCGATGGCAAAATATGCGCCGGCGTGGGTTGAGTGCGCCTTTACAAGCGCCGTCACTAGCACGATCGTTTCCCAAAGATGGGTATACATAGTGCAGTTTCCCCCACGCAAACGCGAAGAGCTGATGTAGTGGAATCTTGACGTTACAGTACTATGAAAACAGGCGAAGGAGAACGAAGTTGATGAACGAGTACCCGTCATGCAACTGACTTGAGCTGACAGTTGGTATCGGAGAGGATAATCCAGAAAGGACTCCGAGAAGTGCCTACACCTCATTCTTTCTGCCCAATCCTACAATCTTCCGCCTAGCTGTATTTCCTTTCCAAATCCATCCGTCCGAACCGCCCTTTTACATCTGCGCCATCACTCGCTACATTTCTACTCACCACCTAAGGCACCTGGCTTTCTGCGGTTGACATACTTGTACTCGTAGATCCCTGGAGGCCAGGAGTTGGGGAACAATCAACCTCTGGTAATTTCTGTGGCCGTTTCTAAAGGGCTTGATATCGATGCTGCGTTCTCTTCGTCGCACGTTCTTCAGCACCGGGAATAAATCAAGATATGGGATTTTCCGTCTGTGAGATGGGGATGAGGGGGGAGGGTGTCGGCTCGCAGATAGCGTTGTTGTCGAGAGTTGCACCACGGTTATGGAAGCAGGATCCTGCTGTAGGTTATCGATTATTGCTTGGAGTGTTTCGCAGACGAACATGTTCTTTCTTTCCCAACTCTGTCTGATGCTCGCTCACTGGTACGTCTTACGCTCGTGAGTCCGTTTTTTGAATATGACTCTCAGTGAATCCTTACCAATAGTTCGATAATCGTTCGGAGAGATTGTTCCCGGTGTCTCTGAACGTGTTCGAGAGCTGGAATTTAGAGGGAGACAATTTGGAACACTTTCGAAACACGCGGATCGTTCTTTCCGACCTCGTTTACGATACATACGCTAGTATGTATTGGTGTTAGCTTAATTTAGTATTCAAAAACATCTGGAATGCTTGCACCGGAGATCTTTCACACCACACACCCAAATTCGTACTGTAGCATAGAAATCTCTCCGCAAAATTATTCAAATCAAGTAGCCACATCGCAAATAGTCGCATTTAATCAATTTTGAAGCTATGTAACCTCAGCTATATCTCTCAAACGCACCAATAACGCAGTAGCCACCGAACCGCCGTCGTCACCGCCCCTCAGTCGTCGTCGCAGTAAGAATTACCCCCCCATAACTACTAAATAGCCTCTGCTTAAGAAGCTCAGAAACAGATAAATGGGGGCTGAGTGTTAGCAGCAGCCCTATGGGGCCCTACGGCCCTACGAAGGCCCTACAGGCCAAGTATTTAGATCTAAATAGGGGTGTCTGACTGTCAAGCGCAGACACCCCGGGACCAGGCTTTTAGCTGAGTTGCTAATACGAGGAACATGCCAAGACTTCAGTATAGCTTCATCTTTTCATTTAGGACCTATACTAACGATAGCAGTGTTATTGAATAATTTTGCGGAGAGATTTCTATGCTACAGTACGAATTTGGGTGTGTGGTGTGAAAGACTCCGGTGCCAAGCATTCAGATGTTTTGAATACGCTAAATACAAATCGGCCTATTATTCAAATTGAGCTCCCATCGCCCCGATCTTCTTTACAACCTCCGTCTCGCAACGCACCATTTCAACATCGTGCCCGCCACGCATCATCACATAATCATCCCCTGAAAGTACGACAGTTGAGGAAACCATTCATCCGAGTGCTGGTCTCACTGATGCCACTGAGCCTTCTCGACCCGCCTCAGCTACAGCAGGGCAGCGCCGCGAAGGATTGTACTATTGGCAGAAACCTTCCGTGACGAATGTTCGGGCTGGAATTATGAGTACCCGGCTTACGCCGTGGGATTTGCAACAAGCCTACCAAAGCCGCTTCCTTCGCGAAACGACCCCCTCTCTGTCTTTCTGCCCCAGGATGCATCAGCCTCGATTAGTATCTGCGTAACACTCGTACAGCTGTCGGAACGCGGTGCAGCATTTCAACGTTAGCGCGGCATAGCCTCAGATGGCCTTGTCACACTATGTCCAATTTGTCATACCCCACCAACTGTGTACGGACATTCGCGGTGACTCTCAATGAAGGGCCGGTAGGCCCCTATTCATGAGACATGTCAGCATCATTGTATGTTGGTACGCCTTACTAGATCATACCGTTTGTCTGGATTGAGAACCCACTGGCTAGAAATACTACATACACTTGAAGTCGCCCGTCCGACCCTGCGCGGACATTATGTCTAGGCTAGAGTGTGGAGGCATGCTAGCGTCACGTGGCTCTTGTAAGCTTCTGCCACACGGCCCATGCGAGGTACCCGCAGCGCAAGCGCTGGGCTGCATTAGATCGTCATTGTTGCATGTTCCCGGATGAAAGGTGAATGGCTTCAATTGTCCGTGGTGACATCTGGCTTGGCTGCGTCACCTCGGTGGGGTTCCAACACATGGCTCCTGCAAGAAATGGTTGATGAGACTGTCAGCTCATCTTCCATGCAGCTAGTCACGGTGCAACCTATCAATGGGGACCTCACTATTGCATTATTCTCCGTTTGGTCTTGCACAATACATGCCCGGAGACTTTTCCTCCACTGCATCAGCTAGTGGTCTTGCTGATATCCCGCCCCCATATCACACACACTATTCTTTGATCCTCATTGATGCCTTACATATAGAATCGAATTGTGAAGACATGCAATAACCTCCGGGCCCAGTTGCACGGGCGGAGAGTTCCTGGCTTCTCGAATGTCAAGCGTTTTCCAAAACGGCCGTGTAACGACTGGGGAGGGCTTTGGTAACCTCGTATGCGCTCCCTTGTTTCAAGTTCTGAGTCGAGATCCGAATTGCCTCAATTATCTATCCGCAGCGCTATGCATATTCCGAGAAATGATACGTCATACTGTCTTTTCATTTCATTCTCGTTTCCTTAAGAAGGTCAGGGTAAGCTTGTAGTGAATGACCAGAAACTTCTCTTCACGACTGTCTCCAACAGCCATTCAATCACAGATTATTTTGCAACCATTGAGGCAGGCTTTCCTCGGTAAGACTTGGAATCCAACAGATCTCGATTACTCCTAGCATTGCCACTATATTCCACCTTACTTGCAATCACTATCTGCAATCACTCATCCTCGATCCAGCCCAGTACCAAATCATTTACTCAGACGCAATGGCAGCCATCGACCGCAGACTCACCGACCTTACGGAGTCAACCAGCTCATCCTCCGGATCCTCACTGCATTCACGCTCATCTTCGGAGTCTCTGGGCGCACCCTCCGATACTACGGCCCCTTCAGACCATGAAGATAATTGCGGCAGAGCTGACGACCCTACCGCCATTGTAGGCTTGGCATGTCGTCTGCCAGGAGCCCAAAGCTCAAGTAAGCTTTGGGAGAACATTCTCGAGCAAAAAGACCTTCAGAGCAAGATCCCCGCGGACAGATTCACTGTTGATCAGTTCTATCATCCAAAAGGCACCAATAAGGGCACGGTACGTCTCCCCTTACCTAATCTGCCGTATGTTGCTGAAACTTCATAGAGTAATGCGACTGCGGGATACTTTCTCGATCAGGATCTTAGTCTTTTTGACCCAGAGTTCTTCCGCATCTCTGGGAAGGAGGCAGAGGCCATGGACCCTCAACAGCGAATGCTGCTTGAGGTAGTTTACGAGGCATTGGAAGACGGTGGGTCCCCTAATGATTTTGATTCTCGATCCATCAGCTAATTGCATACAAAAGCGGGTATTACGCTTGAAGACATCAAGGGCTCCCAGACATCTGTCTACTGCGGGAGCTTCACCAACGACTACCGTGAAATGCTGAACAAGGATTTGGGGTACTACCCGAAGTACATGGCAACTGGTGTTGGAAACTCCATCTTAGCCAATCGCATTTCATACTTCTATGACCTACATGGAGCAAGTGTGACCATCGACACAGCTTGCTCGTCTTCCCTAGTTTCTTTCCACATGGGCAATAGGTCCATCCAAGACGGAGACGCCGACATCTCAATCGTTGTCGGCTCTTCGCTCCACTTCGATCCCAACATGTTCGTCACGATGACGGATCTCGGGTTCCTCTCAACCGACGGCAGATGTCGAGCTTTCGATGCTAGCGGAAAAGGCTATGTTCGCGGTGAGGGTATCTGCGCCGTGGTTTTGAAACAAAAGTCACGCGCTGAGCTTCATGGCAACAAGATTCGATCCGTCATTCGTGGCTCAGATGTCAATCACGACGGTGCCAAGGATGGTATTACAATGCCAAACTCCAAAGCTCAAGAGAACCTCATCAGGAAGACCTACAAGAACGCTGGACTGAGTACCAATGATACTCAGTATTTTGAGGCTCACGGCACTGGTACTCAGGCTGGTGATCCCAGAGAGACACGTGCAATCGGTGCGGTGTTTGCTCCAAATCGTCCGGAGCATCTCCATGTGGGATCAGTCAAGACCAACATTGGGCACTTAGAAGGTGCGTCGGGCTTAGCGGGTATCATCAAAACAACGCTCGCGCTTGAAGAACACACGATTCCGCCAAACATGTTGTTTAACAATCCCAACCCTAACATCGACTTCGAAAACTGGAAGATCACCGTCCCAACGAAGGCACTGGACTGGAAGGCATCCCACGGTTTCCGACGAGCCAGCATCAATTCCTTCGGCTATGGCGGTACAAATTCTCATGTGATCCTTGAAGGCTACACTGCGCCTGCTGGAGAGCTTGAGGTACAACTCCCTCCAGGTTTGGCAGCGATGGTCGAAAAGAGACCTTTTTTGCTGCCATTGACCTCGCATACGGAGAAAGCTGGAAATCTGTTCAAGATCGGGCTCTCTCATTTCCTAGAAGATAAAACCGGACATTCCGCAGCAGCCCTGGCACACAGTCTCAGTGATCATGGGCGCACCATGCACAAAGTCCGGTCCTTCCTCGTCGAGAAGGACCGCGAGGACACTATTGCAGGCTTGAACGAGTCCTTGACTTGGACGAGATCTGATGAGTCCAAGGTCAGACTTGGCTTCGTATTCACGGGCCAGGGAGCACAGTCATTTGCGATGGGTCGACAGCTGA